TTTGCATGCAGATAGTTTGTCTCATTGATAACCCTTGTGGTGTCTTTGGTCATCATACACTTGTTTTATTTCTGTATTTGTTCTGAACAGAGGGATTTGGAAGAAGTTGATAACCAAATGTCACATATGTAATTTGACCTGTTACACTTATAGCCCATGGTTTTCATGTCCTCATTGTTTAGTAGAATAGGAGGGTACACTAAGGCCATGCACTTATCAAGGCTTAGTTTACTTTTAACAAAACCGTTATCTACCTACAGCATCAACCAAATGACAAGTGTGCTTCCAAAATGGCACCCTATTTTTTATATAGTGCACTACTTTTGAACAGGGCCCATGTTGACCAAAGTCCTATGGGCTCTGGTCAAAAGTAGTGCACTTTACACTCATTTGGAAAAAGAGGTGCTATCTAGAACCTAAAGCTGTCCCCATAGGAGAACCCATTGAAGAACCATTTTTAGTTCCAGGTAGAACCTATTTGGTTCCAGGTAGAACTCTTTTGGGTTCCATGTAGGACTCTTTCCACAGATGGTTCTACATGGAACCAGAGGTGAAAGTAGAATTCATTTCTTCCCAACATTTTTTATGGGCCTAATCATAGAATTACGTATAGAATCCCTATTAATTCAATAGGATCTCTGTGGGCCTAGTCCTAAAGGTTTGTAATTTAACTTTTAAAATGTATTACCTTTTATTGTGGCAAAAACACAACCAGTAATTATGTTTTAATCTGATTGTCAAGAAATCACTTCAAAGGGCTTCTTTATTAGGCTACCTGTGCACATTCATCCGCTCGCAACATCCAGTATTTCCAGCCTCCAAACATTGGTGAATGGAAAGCGAAATCTGTTACAAAATACACCAAAAAGTGTAATGACATTTGGCGATTGTCATTAGGGCAGAATATATGAGTCCACTGCAGTCCGCGCGTGTCTCAGTGTTCTCGTTGAACCACATCGCATTTTGGAACGCAGGCTATACAACCCGTTTTCAAGTCCATTCGATGATTTTTCATGCCTCTGACATGACACACACATACAGTACCAGTCAAAAGCTTGGACACACCTACTCATTCAATGGTTTTTCTATATTTTTACTATTTTCTACATTGTAGAATAACAGTGAAGACATCAAAACTATGAAATAACACATATGGAATCATGTAGTAACCAAAAAAGTGTTAAACAAATCAAAATATAATTTATATTTGAGATTCTTCAAATAGCCACCCTTTGCCTTGATGACAGCTTTGCACACTCTTGGCATTCTCTCAACCAGCTTCATGAGGTAGTCACCTGGAATGCATTTAAATTAACAGGTATGCCTTCTTAAAAGTTAATTTGAGGAATTTATTTCCTTCTTAATGTGTTTGAGCCAATCAGTTGTGTTGTGACAAGGTAAGGGGGGTATACAGAAGATGGCCCTATTTGGTAAAAGACCAAGTCCATATTATGGCAAGAACAGCTCAAATAAGCAAAGAGAAATGACAGTCCATCATTACTTTAAGACATGAAGGTCAGTCAATACGGAACATTTCAAGAACTTTGAACGTTTCTTCAAGTGCAGTTGCAAAAACCATCAAGCTCTATGATGAAACGGGCTCTCATGAGGACCGCCACAGGAATGGAAGACCCAGATTTACCTCTGCTGCAGAGGATAAGTTCATTAGAGTTACCAGCCTCAGAAATTGCAGCCTAAATAAATGCTTCACAGAGTTGAAATATAAAATATATTTTGATTTGTTTAACAATTTTGGTTACTAAATGATTCCATATGTGTTATTTCATAGTTTTGATGTCTTCACTATTATTCTAAAATGTAGAAAATAGTAAAAATAAAGAATTGGTGTCCCTAGGGGGTTCTGTGACCCTTGAATGCTTCTCCACAGTATTCTGGATATTGTCACGTCTACTCCTGCTCCCCCCCTCCAGCGCTCAACGTCGCCGGTTTACTAACCACCGGTCCTGGCAACCCATCATTTCACACACCTGGCAACCCTCATTATGCACACCTGCACTCCATCATTAAGCACACCTGGACTTCATCACTACCCTGATTACTCCCCCTGTCACGCTCGTTGAGTACAGGATTGGACCAAGGTGCAGCGTGGAATGCATACATGTTTATTAACGAAGTTAACACGCGACAAAACAACAAAAGCAACGTAATGTGAAGCTCACAATGGCTACACACACACAAGCCAAACAAGAGTCAAGATCCCACAACATAGGTAGGCAAAAATGGCTACCTAAGTATGATACCAAATCAGAGACAACAATCGACAGCTGCCTCTGATTGGGAACCACACCCGGCCAACATAGATCTACAATCACCTAGAATGTACACATAGAAATTCCAGAGCGACTGCTCTGGCACAGGAGTGGAGCAGCTGACCAGAGCTGGACTAGGCACTGGGTGGAGCGGACTGCTCTGGCACAGGAGTGGAGCAGCTGACCAGAGCTGGACTAGGCACCGGTAGAGCGGACTGCTCTGGCACTGGAGTGGAGCAGCTGACCGGAGCTGGACTTCGCACCGGTGGAGCGGACTGCTCTGGCACTGGAGTGGAGCAGCTGACCGGAGCTGGACTGAACACCGGTGGAGCGGACTGCTCTGGCACCAGCCGTACCGGGCTGGGTACACACACCACTGGTCTGGTACGAGGAACAGGTATGGGCCGCACCGGGCTGGGAACACGCACCACTGGTCTGGTGCGAGGAGCAGGCACGGACCGTACCGGGCTAGCGACACACCCCACTGGTTTGGTGCGGGGAGCAGAACGGGGCGTAACAGGCTTGCGACATGCACCACTGGTTTGGTGCGGCGAGCAGGTACGGGCCGTACTGGGCTGGGGAGGCGCACTGGTGACACAGTGTGTATCTCCGCATAACTTGGTTCCTCAATGAACACACGCTCCTTCTGTAGCCTGGCCAGCTCCTCTCTCCGTGCATCCACTAATTCCTTCTCCCTACGGGCCTCCTGCAGCGCCTCCTTCTGAAGTGAGAGCTCCTGCTCCCTCTTCTCTAACAGCCCCCGTAATATGTTGGCCTCCTCTCTCATACTGCTGATCCGCAGGTCTTGGAGGACCTCTACAATAGCGGCCTCCTCCTCCACAGTCAGCCCTTTCACAGCCTCCTGCTGCTTCGTCGACCACCCCGTGTGCCCCCCCCAAACATTTTCTTGGGGCTGTCTCTCTGGCTTCATTCGTCGTCGGCACCGTTGGCGTCGCCGTTGATCCGGACTCCAGCCCTCCTCCATTACCTCACCGTAACGGATGGCTTCCTCCTCTGTAATTTTCCCCCAACCGAGGAGGACATCTACCAATGTTGCTTCCCGCTGTGTCCAGGGTGTTTGTTCCTCCTGGGCACGCTGCTTGGTCCGTTGGTGGTGGGATCTTCTGTCACGTTCGTTGAGTACAGGATTGGACCAAGGTGCAGCGTGGAATGCATACATGTTTATTCACAAAGTTAACACACGACAAAACAACATAAGCAATGTAACGTGAAGCTCACAATGGCTACACACACACAAGCCAAACAAGAGTCAAGATCCCACAACATAGGTATGCAAAATGGCTACCTAAGTATTATCCCCAATCAGAGACAATGATCGACAGATGCCTCTGATTGGGAACCACACCCGGCCAACATAGAACTACAATAACATAGAATGTACACATAGAAATTCACACCCTGACCAAACCAACGAGAAACAACAGGCATTTAAAGGTCAGGGCGTGACACCCCCTTTATCTAGCACTCCCTAGCATTACTCTTCAGGCAGTATTGGTTCTATGTTCATATCCAGATGCTTCTCTTGTTTTGTATCACTCTATGTTCTTTGTTATTAAACTCACCAACTGCACCTGCTTCCTGACTCCCAGCGTCATTCTTACAGATATGGCTGAAACACACTCCAGGACATGGACGTATATCCATTGTAACAACCTATTGTGAAAAAGTGCAATTTCACGTTGCAAAAATATTAAATAAATGTTAATCTGACTCTTTGGAAAGTTGCCCTCGCTGATGTTGGATCATATCATTGTGGAATATTCTGGTATAATGCTATTTTGGAAATAGTGAATCTCATGATTCAAGGTCAGTGTAGAAATGGGAAGAGATTGGAAGACAGAAAAATCATTGAGTAGAAAAATATGTTTACAATTTCAATTTCAGATGTATTTTCCCACTCAGAATGTCTAAATGTTGTGTGGTTTTCTTTTGCCAGGAACCAAGTCTGACATTGAAGGTAAGACATTTGAAGAGCTGATCTCTAAAAAAGTTTACATGAAATGTAAAAAATATTCTAAACATTTTATCTTCAACCAAATGTTGATACAGTATTATAAATGATGTGTTCTTTTTTTTCTGGTCAGCAACCTTAAGAATTCCCTCATTATAAGTATGTATTTTTCTCCTTCTCAAGAGAATCAAACTGGATTGCTGAACTACATAACATTTGTTCTGGTTATTATCATTATTATCCTGATAGTAACGAACATTCTCCTGACAATCTTGTGGAGAGCTCTGAAAAAACATATCTGGTAAGTTAATCTTTGTCATACCATATTCATAATATATGATATATGAATGCCAAATATTAATGGCGTAAATGACTATTATATCAAGTGAGTCATTTTGCATTATATATTTTTCCTGACTTTAAACTGCTTCACATTATAGCTGGGGTAACTTAGTAATTGTGGATGAAGTATGCATCGCTGTCTTTATTTTAGAATCTGAACATGGACACAGAGAATTACGCTGCACTGAGCTTCTCAATAACAGACCTGAGCGTGGAAGGGGAAGAGGGCAGTATGGAGACGTTTCTGAGACACACAGTGTGTATACTGTGAAATAGTCTTGTTTGACTATATTAACATATAACACGGTATCTACTGTGTAATTGTGTCAGTATTGAATACAGTATTTGAAAAGACAGTAAACCACATGTGTATTTGTAACAGCTGAAGGATTGAGAAACTGAATCATTAAATTAATCTATTTCCTGACGAGGTTGATGATGAAGAAGATGATCAGACAGCAGAGGAGAAATCCAGTTCTTATGATGGAGAAGAGGACAAGGATCCTCATATCCACTTCAGTCACCACTTGAACATCACCACCTGAAAGAATGTCATGTTTTCAATTATACAGCAGGAGTTATTACAGTGTAATAAAATGTATTTTATTTTGCCTTTATTTGATCAGGTAAGTCATTGAGAGCACATTGTCTTTTACAATAACTATCTGTGTGACTATTGTAAATGTAATGTATATGTAATTTTAACAAAGGAGCATAAGAGGTTTACCTTCAACATCCAGCTTGGTCCCTTTCCCAAACAGTATCTCCCCACATGAGGCCACAGCACAGTAGTAAGTCCCAGCATCAGAGAGGCTGAGGTTCCTCTTGGGGAGGTTGTAGACACAGCTCTGTGTAGGAGACCCAGCCTCAGGGCTCTTCTCACGCTGATCACTCCTGTCTACATGGGTGTAAATGATTCCAGGATGGGATTCTCCTGAGCCATGTCTGAACCAATAGACACTGTGTTCTCCTGCACAGGTCTCAGTGTGTATTGTACAGTTCAGAGTAACAGAGTCTCCTGTCTGGACTGACTCAGACACAGGCTGCTCTACAACTGTCTTGCTGTTGCAGCCTGAATCTGAAAAGAGGGTTTAAATATGTCAGCAAATCTGTGTTAACTATCTACAACTTCCCCGTAGCAAGTGTTCTTACTCGTTTAGAGAATCATCTAAATTTGAGAACACCCGATATTTACTGTAAGACACTTTTCCAAAAGGTAAAAAAAAAAATTCTTAGGCTAACTCATCACTACTCTTTATCTACAAATTCAGATTTTTCCTGAAATATTTAAGGAATATTGAAATAATTTCCTCAGCACTGTACCTTTTATATTGAGGATGGTTCCTTTTCCAAATTCTATCACATTTGAGTGTGCGCTCCCACAGTAGTACGTGGCTGAATCCGAGCTTTTCATGTCTGAGATACTGAGGTGATTTATTCCTTGGCTGCTTTGCACTGAAAATCGAGGATTACCCTTGAACTCATGGTAATATGTAGGAGCCTTGTCATACTTATAGACTGTTGAGATGACCTGAGGTTTTTCTCCCAAGGGTTGCTTGTACCAGGAGAAATGCATGGCCATGTCGCCTTCATAGAAGCACTGCAAAGTCACTGTGTCCCCAACGTTGGCTGACATGAGACCACTCTCCTGTTGTATGGCTGAGGGCTCAGTCCCAGCTCGTACATGAACTACAACTAAAGAAAATACAATATCTTACACAAATATATTAACTGTTATATATATATATATATTAAAATACAAGACAGGAATGCCTCAAAGTGTCTGTGAGTTTCAATCAAAATAAATTGTATCATTGTACTCCCTGATGAAAGCTATGGCGAAATGTGGCTGAGTAAAAAAAAAAAGGTTCTATTGAACATGCCATCATAATAAAAGTAAATTAAACATACCCATCTCTCCAAGAAGAAAACATGCGTACAGTTGTGCGAACATCCTAATAGCTGTCATCTTCTTCAAAACCTGTGTCTTGAGTGGAAAAGTCTACCTCTGTAGAACAACACTTCTTAAATGAGGTTATTTAGTTTCTGATATGCATTCTGCGGTATCTCATTTAGCATATCAGCAGATTTCAGGGTTTCCACAGTGAACAGCGAGGATATGCTGAAGGTAGGCTAAGTGCCCCTGTGGTGACTTGACCTAACCCAGATTACAAGAGACCGGATGGACACAGCTGAGCGTCCTGTTGGGCTGACTCTATTGTGTTTATCTTCTATGATCTATGTTTTCAAATGTAATGCAGCAAAGGTCCGAATTTCACTTTTTGGATGAAGAATGAAGTTTAGCAAAAGCCTGGCCTTCATTATCAAAGGACAGATATTGTTAACAACCCACTCCCCTTTAAGGAGTGGGGAACGGTTAAGGCCTTCTACGCCTTCAGAGAAGGCCCAAGGATTTATAAAGTAATTGTAGTATATTTTAAATATCAAATTTGTTTTAATTTCTATTTTATCTTTTCAATAATATTTCAAAAATATTCGGATTATATTCTTTTCAATTACATTCTGATTTAATCTCTTCCGTTTGCGTTTTTTCAAGGAAAGGGTTAAACTGAGGAGAAAAAATATACAATCAGGATTTTTCTTTGGTGGTCTCTGGGGAGAAATGTAGCTAGATAGCTCACCATTGGCTAGACCTTCAGAAGCTCGATAGAAGGCATCTGCCATTCAACTGTATTAGAGCTGAATTTTGGAGTGACAGTGGAATCAACCAATCACATTTTGATTTGTATGGGTGCGACCATTTTGACAAAAACTTATGGAAACTCCCGCCATTCTCGAAGGCCGACAGTTCACCACGCAATAGCGAGCAGTAGTTTTCCCACAGTCTAAGCTAGCTAGTTTTTGATGTAGGCTAGTGTGCGGCGGCTGCTGTAGAATGTGTTATTGATGATGATGTTCATGCTAAATTGCTAGCTTCATCCTTTTCAAGATTAACTTTCAGCAAGAAGTTGTTTCAAATTATCATCATCTGGTGAGTGGAACTGTTTTTTTTTTTATTGCAGCTTGCTTGCTGTTGTTAGCTATCTCTTTGAAACTAATGTGTTATGCATGTGAAACATTGTTGCATTTAAACTATAGATCACTGGTTAGTGTATATGCCTAATGTGATAATGATGTTTGCAATAGGAAGTAATAGTTATACATTTCCATTGGGAAATGCTTAGCCTAATGGTTGTGTTTTTGTGTTCTTATGATTGGAACCTACTGGCTTATTATGTCCTAGTGAATGGGCTGCTTATTCTTTAACATCATGCTGTGTGTGACTGCTGTCTTTCTATCAGCCTATGTGTTTTACAAAAAGTGTCCTCTCCTACATGGAGTGAGATGGTAGGTATTACAGTCGCTGTCCTTTCAGCATCACAAGCCTGTAAAACTCACATCCTTTGATGTGTCACTGTTGTCGCTTTTGGTGATAGTGTGATAGTGATGGTGTTAGGCTACCATAGGTTGTGTAAGCAATGTGGTTGTTGTTGTTAACGTTAGTGCGGGTTCTGTCTCAGTTTTTCTTGATTTTTGAGTTTAGTACAACCTTTTGGAAGATTTTTCCCCCTCTGAAGGCCTAGGTCCAGGAGCCATGGTTCGCCATTGCCTTTAGTATGGTTTACTATGGGTGAACTACAAGCCACTGCTCCTGCCAATCGCAATATATTACAAGAAAGCAAACAATTCTAAAAATCTCCCTGCAATAGAGCATGCTGGGAAATATCATATATTGTTCAATGTTGAACCCACCTTTCCTTCCAAAGAATCCTTCTTCCCTTCCAAGGAATCATCAAAGAATCGTTTCTTCAAAAAAACGTTTCTTGGGATGTTAAAGGTTCTAGCTAGAACCCTTGTCTTTCAAAAAGAGTTATTCTGATCAAAACGGTTCTTGATAGAATCCTATCCCTCCGCAATGAACCCTTTTGGAACCCTTTTTTATAAGAGTATAGAATAAATAAACCCAACCGTGGGGGGTGTCTTACTGTGAAAACAGATTTAGATTTGGAATATTTACTGTCATCCAGACCCTTTTCAAAGGTTGTTACTTAAAAATGTACAAAATATGTTTGACCAACTGGTCTGTTGATATACGTTTGATCAATTCTGAGCATTTACAATTCTGGGAACATCTATGATGATAAACTACAGTCTAAAACTCACATATCTTATCATTATCTCCATCAAACCAAATGGAAGATTGGAAAATCAGTGGTTGGTGATAACATAACTAAAAAAATCTGTGGTCATTGTATGCAGCTATGGTTTTCACACTATATCCCGCCCATTATCACAAATTACTTTAATCTATCTTATTTGAAGATTCAGTCCTTCCTTTATGTTCTGGCAGTGTAGATCTAAACACAGAATGGAACGCATATACAGTACCAGTCAAAAGTTTGGACACACCTACTAATTGAAGGGTTTTTCTTTATTTTTACTATTTTCTACATTGTAGAATAATAGTGAAGACAACTATGAAATAACACATATGAAATCATGTAGTAACCAAAAAAGTGTTAAACAAATCAAAATATATTTGAGATTTGAGATTCTTCAAAGTAGCCACCCTTTGCCTTGATGACAGCTTTGCACACTCTTGGCATTCTCTCAACCAGCTTCATGAGGTAGTCACCTGGAATGCATTTCAATGAATAGGTGTGCCTTCTTGGGGCAGGACGCACTTTTGTCCACATCGTTGTTGCATTCCACCCAGAGAGGAAGTCTGCCTTGTGTAGTGTACATCCACTAGGGGGCTGGAATGCTTTTCCAACAGTCCTGAAGGAGTTCCCACATATGCTGAGAACTTGTTGGCTGCTTTTCCTTCACTCTGCGGTCCGACTCATCCCAAACCATCTCAATTGGGTTGAGGTCGGGGGATTGTGGAGGCCAAGTCATCTGTGCAGCACTCCATCACTCTCCTTCTTGGTTTAACACTTTTTTGGTTACTACATGATTCCATATGTGTTATTTCATAGTTTTGATGTCATCACTATTATTCTACAATGTAGAAAATAGTAAAAAATAAAGAAGAACCCTTCAATTAGTAGGTGTGTCCAAACTTTTGACTGGTACTGTATGTAGCAGCTCTCGTCCTCTGTGGCTTCTGTAAGTTACTATATCTTCAGTTCAGATTTTTTGATTCATCAATAGATTTGGCCACTCACATACTTGTGACTGTGTTTAGGTGTGTGTATATCATGTGCATGAAGAATACGTTTTTTTCACAACTGTTCCTAAACCTTTGTTTTCTCCCTTTCAGATCTGACCCATGTTGTGTCTATCTCTCCGCTACCCTTAGTGGTGGTCCATCCAGGGGATAATGTCACCCTCAGTGGTGGTCCATCCAGGGGATAATGTCACCCTCAGTGGTGGTCCATCCAGGGGATAATGTCACCCTCAGTGGTGGTCCATCCAGGGGATAATGTCACCCTAAGTGGTGGTCCATCCAGGGGATAATGTCACCCTCAGTGGTGGTCCATCCAGGGGATAATGTCACCCTCAGTGGTGGTCCATCCAGGGGATAATGTCATCCTCAGTGGTGGTCCATCCAGGGGATAATGTCACCCTCAGTGGTGGTCCATCCAGTGGATAATGTCACCCTCAGTGGTGGTCCATCCAGGGGATAATGTCACCCTCAGTGGTGGTCCATCCAGGGGATAATGTCACCCTGCAGTGCATCAATGTCCTTAAAAAACTTTTTTTTTTAAATGGGATACGTTGGCTGATTCAAGCAAGTCAACGGCTCAGAGCCCCTGTGCATCACGTCTATGTGTAGCTCTCTTCAAACTGTTTATCATTAAAATGGATTTCAGGGCAAGCACATGAAAATGTTAATAGAGCTATCGTTCTCAAAATCACAGAGGTGGATGTAGCTGATTCTGGTCTGTACTTCTGTGGAATGCTGGATAACTATTTCATCTTCACCAACGCGACTGTCCTGAAGGTCTAAGGAAATATTTTCTATAAATTGTCTGCTATGACACCAAATGCACTAACATGTATCCGTGGAATCAGAAATATTATTGAGAAAATGTTGGAGATATTATCGGACTACAGTTTGAATAACAGTGGAATATTTAACTCTCCTAATCGTCCGAAAGGTCACAAAGATTCTGACAAGGACCCTACAGAGCACTGTGAAGAAGGTATGTTTATATCTTAAGTGAGAATCTTTCAGAATTAATTAATATGATAACATTAAAGTACCACAGAATATAAATAAAGTATAACAACATATTTTACCAACCTAGCCTGAGAATTCGTATTATTTCAGTTGTGGATCCACAGATGAGAATCCTGGTCCTTCTCTCCATCATCAGAACTGGAGTTCTCCTCTGCTGCCTGACCATCTTAATCATCGTCTACCTCACCAGGAAATAGATAAAGCTAGGGCCAATGTCAAAATGAGTATATATGGTGCATGTTACTTGCTTTTGCCAAATCTCTGTGTATGCACCTATTGTATGTAAGCATTCGAAACCGACGTCAAAATGTTGCCAACAGTTTAGCTTCCTCCACTGTCCGAATGCCCCAAACTGGGCTTGAACCAGCGATCCTCTGATCACAAACACACTGTCTTTCCTTCAAAACATACCAACAGTTCGAGCCATCCGCTTGGATGGTTCCATTTGCGACATTTCAAGCTAGTGGTGGAGTGATCTAACGGCATATTCTTAACTCCATTACACATTAATAAGTTGTTATGTCTTGAGTGCATGGGTCAGAGGTGATAGAGGTTTTCATGAAGGAAAAGAGTTGACAAATGTATTTATAAATTATACGTTTTTGTGAAGTTACAAAGTATCTGCACTTTGTACGCTTGTTGAATGCTTTAGGGTATTGAAAATGTTTTTAGCTTGTTTTTTTGTATTCTTTACAGACTTTTAACATATTGTTGAGTAGCAGGTGTCTGGTGTTTTAAGTCCAGATGAAGAGAGGTGTGAAAAGAGAGTGTGTGGTTTTGATGCACTGAGGGTTGTGGTGGTGAGAGCTCAAGTCCAGTCTTTTCAGTAGTGCAGGTTACTCGTATTCAGCAGAGAGAGAATTACGCATGTTAGGCCTACCACAGTGGAACATTTCTGTTGGTCAGTGTCTCTGACTCACATCCCCTTATCACCAACTGTCCTCAAATCACCTACGCATTTACACTCAATTTAATATTTTGCCCATAAGAAAAAATACATTTACATTTTAGTCATTTAGCAGACGCTCTTATCCAGAGCGACTTACAGTTAGTGAATACATATTTTTTTTTTATACTGGCCCCCCGTGGGAATCGAACCCACAACCCTGGCGTTGCAAACGCCATGCTCTATCAACTAAGCTACATCCCTGCCGGCCATTCCCTCCCCTACCCTGGACGACGCTGGGCCAATTGTGCGCCGCCCATGAGTCTCCCGGTCGCGGCCGGCTGCGACAGAGCCTGGATTCGAACCAGGATCTCTAGTGGCACAGCTAAAGATTAAGCGATTAAATGCTTCACCACACTGTTGTGTTGGCAAGTGGACTGGAAATCTAGCGAAACATACGGAGAGAGAGAGAGAGAGAGAGAGAGTGAGAGAATAACCATTTCATCCCCCAGTCTTAGCCTATGAGAGTTCCAGTGATGTTCACCTCAGCAGGTCTCACTTTACACTGACCTGCTCTTTCCTGTCACTCACAACACAGAAAGTGATCTGTTCCTCACTGGCCCCTCCTCTACCTCAGACCCCAATCAAATATTCTCCCTAACCCTAGCCCTAACCCTAGCCCTAGGCCTAGTCCTAACCCTAAAGCTAACCCTAGCCTGGCCGTAACTACAGCTACAAAGTTAGACAGGCCTTTTCAGAGACAGGCCTTTTTGCTCATGATCAAAGCCTGCACCTCTGTCTGGGTATCAGAGCTGCTAACCAATAATATCAGGTTATCTCTGACTCCAGCCTTGTTGTTCCTGTCCCCTCATCACACTGTGGTTGATGCACTTGTCACCTTTCTAATATCAGTTAGACCATAAAGAACAAATTGCATGAAAGAGGCATAGCTGACAGCTATAAAGGACATTTTTCCCACATTTGAGTCAAGGTACAAAAAAAGGTACAGTAATTATTACTATTCTATACATTTAAGTTGAATAGATGGTTTATTCATATATATACTGAACAAAAATATAAACGCAACATGCAACAATTTCATTGATATTACTGAGTTACAGTTCATATAAGAAAAGCAATCAATTGTTAGCTACCTGTGTTTTGTGTAAGAAAGTATGATATATTGTGGTGCATGAACTGGTCATACACGTTAGCTAACATTACAGTCTTACGTTGGCTAATGTTACCTAGCTAACGTTAACTGGCTATCATAGCACTCATGGACATTTGCTAGCTTATTGGTGTGTATTTGTTTGTGCTCTGATTACACACAAGTGTCTAGGTCAGCAGTTTACACATTATGACTTCAGCCTTATATGAACAATCTTACTACCTAGCTAATAACAAAAAGCCACATTCATTGGCTAGCTACCTTTGCCTGTTTATTAGTTAGCTAGCTTCCAGCGGACTGGTGTTAGCTAGTTACAGAGGCTAGCTTCTGGACATTGGACAAGCGACCTAACGTTAGCTAACATTAGCTAGCTACCTAGCTAATCAAAACATATGTTTGCAATTATTGATTAACCTCAGCTTAAATACCACCATATAGCTAGCTAGGTAGCCTAGGTTTGTTCACATACACTTCTTATGACTGGCAGCATGGTGCAAGCAGCGGTGTTGTTGCCGAGCAAAAAAGAGAGAAGATGTTAGCATTGTCAGAAATGCTACAAAAAGGTAGCACATTGTTGGTTCTTAATGGACAGAAATGAGCATGTGAGAGTGATAAATTATATATGTTATCAAAACTGTTGCCCCTACAAACGTATTCAGTCTGAAAGGTGGCAAGTCTAATGGTCAGTTTATGGACGCTGTAGTCTCGTTCTTATCCAACGCCTAGATATTGAGCTAGGTCTGGGAAAGGAATTGTCTTTTTTTCTTAATGCTAACGACCCTGGTAAAAATCTGATATGTGGTTCTCGGTAACAGCCGGACGACTCATGACGAGAGGCAGGGAGTGTGTTGTGTACCTCCAATCAAGTTGATTTGCAAAGCTTCATCGACATTGGTGTCATATTGGCGTAGATATGATGGTAGGGAGATTTGAATTTAACATTGATCTTCAATCAATCCCTACTATAGTCGCACCGTCCCACGCGACTACAATGTTATTCACCTATAGGGATTATTCATATAACTCCACAGTTCACTGTTCGAAGCAGGACTGATGATACAGTAAACTTTCTCAAAGAGAAACAGAAAATGTAAACACGGTGTGATAAAATGCTTTTTATTCAGTGACATTATTTTGAAAATATAAGCAATTCAGAAACAGAGTAAATTACAATTGTATTTCATGGTGTTTCCAAATCTACAGAACCAAGATCCTGATGCACTGAATTATGCCGCCCTGAATTTCACCTCCAAGATAAAGAAGAGGGAGAGAAGAAGAGAGGAGCTGGACCCCCATGTAGTGTATGCTGCTACAAGATGACAAAGTGGAGGAGGATGGAGAGGAGGGAAAGTGGCTTGCCGTATATTTGAATACAAGTTTAAATCCTTCTATGTTGTATATGTAGTTAAAACAAATGCATTGAAATGTAAATTAGTAAATATCTCTGTAGTTTCTGTGCGTTGTACTTCAGGTCCACTGTAGCCCTCTTCCACTCTGTTAGGCCACACAGCTCAGTGGTACAGGGTGTGGTTCACAGGAGGCGGCTGAGGGGAGAACGGCTCATAATAATGTATTGGCTTTGCACTGATCACTGCCCTGCTGAGGTGAACATCAATGGGCCTCTAATAGACTAACACTGTGAGATGAAATGGTCTTTACGCCTCTCTCTCTCTCTCTCTCGCTCTCTCTCGATCTCGCTCTCTCTCCTTCTCTCTCTCTCTCTCTCTCTCGATCTCGCTCTCTCTCCTTCCTTCTCGTCTCTCTCTCTCTCTCTCTCCTCTCTCTCTCTCTCTCTCTCTCTCTCTCTCTCTCTCTCTCTCTCTCTCTCTCTCTCTCTCTCTCTCTCTCTCTCTCTCGCTCTCTCTCTCTCTATCTTAGTATGTCTTGCCAGATTTCCAGTCCACCCGCCCATGGGAAATGATTTCAGTCCAGAGGCATGGTGGATCCCTTTGTTGGCTGAGAGAGCATGCGTTTTGTGAGATCATACATGGGTCTTTGAGCAACGGTACTAAAGAGAGAATATGTACGTCTGCCTCTCGGGCTTCACCACTTCCTGTGCCCCTTTCTGTTTGGTTTGTTTCATTTAGGTATTTGTTTGTGATTTTGAACTTTTATATTATTTGCATTGGCTCAAAATAAACGATGGAGCGGAACATGTGTGAGATGTGACCTCCAGAAAGCCATTCACTATTAAGAATATGTAGTTTGTTGAAACTGTTGTCTGCCTCTACTTTACTCTGCCTGCTCAACCCAGATCCAAAAAAACCTGGTCGATTTCCACCACCTGACATGTGTAAGTGTAAATGTGTGGGTGATTTCAGGGGCAGTTGACAATAAGGGGATGTGAGACAGACTCTGACCAACAGTGACTTTCCACTGTGGTAGATCTTATCTGCGTCATTCTCTCTCTGCTGAAGAAAAACAACCTGCACTACAGGAAGACTGGCCTTCAGCTCTCACCACACTTCTCAGTGCACCAAAACCACACACGCTCTTTTCACACCTCTCTTGATTTGTTCATCTGGATGATGAACACCAGACCCCTGCCAAGTTCAAGTTCAAGTTTTATTGTCACATGCACAAGTACAGTGAAATGCTTAACTTGCAGGCAGTACAGTAATCAATATCCAAATAATACAACTAATAAAAAAGTATATATAATGATGAAGAAAACACGAGAAATAAGAAATAAGAGAGGGATATAAAACAAACTATACAGTACTATACTACTATACTAACTATATACAGGGTCATCTCATCATTCCATTTGTTTTGTCTTGTCTATTACACACACCTGGTTCATATCCCCTCATTAGTACGTGATGAGTGTTGTATTAGTGTTCCCTCTGCCCCCTTGTCCTTGTGGGTGATTGTTTAATGTGAGGAGGAGTAGCTCGGTTGAGCTACGTGTATTTTGTATTGAAGGGGTATATTTTCCCCGTGTGCCTGTTTTGTTCCAGTGCGCCTGTTTTGCGCACTGGACTGTTTGACGCTATCCAGCATAACTTTGTACTACAGAATAAACTCTTTATTCTGTGATTTACCCTCCTGCACCTGACTCCTTCAAATCACCTATTACACTGTTGGTCTGAGCCTTGATGCACCGGTACCATCTTCACAATGGTCTCAGCTTTCTCTGGGGCAACCTCAAGGGCTCGTCCCAGGATCCTCCATCTTGCAGCAAGAATCCCAAAGCAGTTCTCTGAAATTCTTCTGGCTTGAGTGGCAGTAGTTATAGATATTCTTGGCTTTATCAAGGGCAGAAGAACCTGAAGAAAATGTATATTAGTATTGAACAGGAACATGAAGGCCATCAAATGCGTACTGTAACAACTATAGCCTATGCTTTGGACATAGGCCCCCTTCCTCTTACTGGGAGGCATATAATTACAATGTCTATATTGGTATAATTTTCACATCATATGTAATCACATGTATTTAGCCTATCTTACCTGGATATGAGGCATACCCTCAGAGGGAATGCCTCATCTCCCACTAAGACATATGGGCTTGGTGTTTGGGTCCCCGGCAAGCACTCTGGCCTTGGTAGCGGCAGCTGGCCTGCAATGAGTTGGGAGCCGAACTTGCTTCGTGAGAAGATTCCCGCATCTCCCTCCCGACCATATGCACCCACGTTGATCATGGTGGATGCAGTACTTTGCATCGCAGACTGCCATCAGGACCATTGAGGAAAAGCTTTGCATAGGTTGGACAAGAGAGATGGGTTCTCCATCGTCCCTTCTTGTAGTGTTCAGTGGACAAACTTGCCATTTTCTCAAATGTTTTTTCTTCTTCTCCTCCTGAGTAGTAATCACAGTTCAAGCTCTTGCTGTTCAACCTCTAGCAATTGCAAATCATAGACACATGTTTGCGTCTGCTTCTGTGGCTAAAAAGTAGCATCGTAAAGCATAGAACACCAAACTAGCCAGACATGTAGCTACCTAGCTAGTATTTGTAAACAAAAAGCTATATGATACCTTTTTCAAATATCGTCGCTAGCTACAGTCAAAATGTGCCTCGGACCCTCTTGCTTGGTAAGCTACTCTGGCTCCCCAAGCCACCTAGTGGATGTACACTACACAAGGCAGACTTCCTCTCTGGGTGGAACGCAACAACGATGTGGACAAAAGTGCGTGCTGCCCCAAGAAGGCACAGCTGTTAATTGAAATGCATTCCAGGTGACTACCTCATGAAGCTGGTTGAGAGAATGCCAAAAGTGTGCAAAGCTGTCATCAAGGCAAAGGGTGGCTATTTGAAGAATCTCAAATATAAAATACATTTAGATTTGTTTAACACTTTTTGGTTTACTGCATGATTCCATAAGTGTTATTTCATAGTGTTGATATCTTCACTATTATTCTACAATGTAAAAAAAATTGTAAAAAATAAAGAAAAACCCTTGAATGAGTAGGTGTGTCCAAACTTTTGACTGATAGTGTATTTTGCATGCAGTATGTCAGTGGACTGTGTTTCTCATTGTTATGGTCGTGATCAACAAAGTAAGCATGAGAGAAAACACATTGACACCACATAGACATCCTGCTGAAAACCACATAGTGGCCTGTCCAAAGCAAAGAGACGGCCTCATCTTGAGCTCACAGCAGACCAAAATGTTCAGGTACAGGTGAACAGTTCACTGAGTGCATGATGCGTGGGTGGGTTTAACATGGTAACAGTAGGTTGTCTCTGTAAAAGCCCTCTGCACACACATTCATACAGGCATAATGTATGTACAGAAAACAAGAGAAGGAAGATATTTATTAATGCAAAAAGAAGGCACATTCTGTACACAGGGATTTCAGGAGAGCAGTTCAATCAATTAACACATACAGCATAAGGAAGGATGATGACGCTCAATTGGATTAGCAGGCTAATATTTTTTTCATGCAATACGAGCAAATAAGCTATCTCAATAAATCATCATTTGCTATGCATAGCGATGATTCAGGATCTCCTACTTTACTCAAAAACCCAGCTATAGTCTATTGACATTGGCCTTAACTTAGTCTATTTCCTGGTGGTGTAGATGATGATTAAGATGGTCAGACAGCAGAGGAGAACTCCAGTTCTTATGATGGAGAGAAGGACCAGGATTCTCATCTGTGAATCAGAATCAAAAGTCACCATCTGAAATAATAAAATATACTGTATCACTCCACTATAGTGCTATGGGCAGTAGTCGATACAGCGAATCAATCATTAACTGTAATGTTTGTCTTTTTAAAATAGCATATGGATTAGGAAATGTAGTCTACCTTCAACATCCAGCTTGTGTCATGGATTCAGCCGAGGCTGCTCCTCCTCCTTGCTCGGGCGGGCTTCGGCGTTCGTCGTCATCGGAGTACTAGCTGCTACCGATATATGTTTCTGTGTTCTACTTGTTTTGTCTTCATTGTACACACCTGGTTCCCATTATGTCTATGATTTGTTCCCTATTTAACCCTCTGGCTCCCACTGTGTTGTGTGCGTGTTTGTTCTATGTTTGGTGTTATCGACTGTTGAGCGGGATTGTCCTCCCTGCGTGGAGTTTATGTTCATTTGATATTTACGAGTAAAGTACGTTGTCTACTAGCTCTGTGTCCTGCGCCTGACTCCATCCTACTGCTACACCGTGACGCCTGACAGAAACACGCACCTCAAGTGGAGTCAGCAGGCACATTAATTCCTTCCGGATCAGTGGAGGAACGCGTCCAACAGCAGGCGACCATGATACAGACTCTCGGCACAGCAATGGAGCGCGTGTTGAACACCATGGAGCGATAGGAGAGAGGGGGTTTTCCTACACCTCCTCCAATTACACAGCAACCCACACCTCTGTCCACCATCATATGCCCTCTCGCTCCTGAGGGCATATGATGGTACAGCTGCCGGAGAGAGCACTCGAGTGGGCCAACGGCGAGTGGGGAGGAATAGACGCGGCGTCGGTGCGCTATGAAGATTTCACCCGCCGCTTCCGGGCGGTATTCGATCATCCACCGGAGGGGAGAGCGGCAGGGGAACGACTGTTCCACCTCAGACAGGGGAAGAGGAGCGCACAGGACTTCGCACTGGACTTCAGGACCGTGGCTGCCAGCGCGGGATGGAACGAGAGGGCCCTGATTGACCACTACCGATGCAGCCTACGGGAGGACGTTCGTCGGGAGCTGGCCTGCAGGAACACCACCCTTAACCTGGACCAGCTGGTAGATATGTCGATAAGGCTGGATAACCTGTTGGCGACCCGCGGACGTCCGGATCAGGATCCGTCCATTCCATCCCCCAGCACCTCCGACCCTATACCTATGGAGCTCGGAGGTGCTGCTCTCAGGGAGACCGGAAGGGGGGCCGTCTCCTGCACCAACTGTGGCCGCAGAGGACACACTGTTGGTCGGTGCTGGGAAGGGTCCTCAGGGAGTCGAGGCAGCAGGCAGAGCACTGGTGGACCGTCCCAGGTGAGTAGGCAGCCGACTCACCCAGAGCTCCCTGTTGCGCACATGTGTATTGACATCGAATTTCCAGAGTTTTCCCCACATTCCCAGCATAAGGCGCTCGTAGATTCAGGCGCAGCTGGGAACTTTATTGATCGTAGGTTTTCCCGTAGATTAGGGATTCCTATTGTTCCTGTTGATGTGCCCTTCCCTGTACATGCCTTAGATAGTCGCCCTTTAGGGTCAGGCCTGATTAGGGAGGTCACAGCTCCACTCTGGATGAAAACGCAGGAGGGTCATGAGGAGAGAATTAGTCTCTTTCTGATTGATTTTCCTGCATTTCCAGTGGTGTTGGGGCTTCCCTGGTTAACCTCTCATGACCCCACAATTTCATGGCAACAGAGGGCTCTCAAGGGATGGTCACGTCAGTGCCCGGGGAGGTGTGTAGGTGTTTCCATAGGTGCAACTACGGTGGAAAGTCCAAACCAGGTCTCCACTATGCACATTCCCCCCGAATATGCCGATTTGGCTCTCGCCTTCTGTAAAAAGAAGGTGACTCAATTACCACCCCATCGACAGGGGGATTGTGCGATAAATCCCCGGAGTCACGTGTATCCTCTGTCACAGGAAGAGACGGCTGCTATGGAAACATATGTCTCCGAATCTCTGGGACAGGGATACATTCGGCCTTCCACTTCATCTGTCTCCTCGAGTTTCTTTTTTGTGAAGAAGAAGGATGGAGGTTTACGCCCGTGCATTGACTACCGTGGTCTCAATCAGATCCCTGTTAAGTACAGTTATCCACTACCTCTCATTGCTAGTATGATGGAGTCATTGCACAGGGCGCGCTTCTTCACTCAATTGGATCTCAGGAGCGCGTACAACCTGGTGCATATCCGGGAGGGGGATGAGTGGAAGACGGCATTTAGTACCACATCTGGGCACTATGAGTACCTCATCATGCCGTACGGGTTGATGAATGCTCCATCAGTCTTCCAATCCTTTGTTGATAGATTTTCAGGGACCTGCACGGACAGGGTGTAGTGGTGTATATAGATGACATTCTCATATACTCCGCTACACGAGCCGAGCATGTGTCCCTGGTGCGCAAGGTGCTTGGTCGACTGTTGGAACATGACCTGTACGTCAAGGCGGAGAAATGTCTGTTCTTTCAAAAGTCTGTCTCCTTCCTAGGGCAACATCTGTCCACGTCAGGGGTGGAGATGGAGATTGACCGCATTTCGGCCGTGCGTAAAACTCCAACCATGGTGAAGGAGGTGCAGCGATTCTTAGGGTGTGCCAACTACTACCGGATGTTTATCCGGGGCTTTGGTCAGGTAGCGGCTCCTATTACCTCCTTGCTGAAGGGGGGACCGGTGCGACTGCAGAGGTTGACAGGGCTTTTGGTCACCTGAAGGACCTGTTTACCTCGGCTCCAGTGCTGGCTCATCCGGATCCCTCCTTGGCATTCACAGTAGAGGTGGACGCGTCCGAGGCAGGGATAGGAGCTGTACTGTCTCAGCGCTCGGGTATGCCACCAAAGCTCCGCCCCTGTGCTTTCTTTTCAAAGAAGCTCTGCCCGGCGGAGCGCAACTATAATGTGGGGGACCGGGAGCTGCTAGCTGTGGTTAAGGCTCTGAAAGCGTGGAGGCATTGGCTTGAGGGGGCTAAACACCCTTTCCTCATTTTGACGACCACCACAATCTGGAGTACATCTGGGCGGTGAGGAGACTGAACCCTCGCCAGGCAAGGTGGGCCATGTTTTTCACCCGTTTTGTGTTCACCCTTTCTTACAGACCAGGTTCCCAGAACGCTAAGGCAAACACTCTGTCCCGACTGTATGACACAGAGGAGAGGTCCATGGAGCCCACTCCCATACTTCTGGCTTCGTGTCTGGTGGCACCGGTGGTGTGGGAGGTTGACGCAGACATCGAGCGCGCGTTACGTACAGTGCCCACTCCCCCCCAGTGTCCAGAGGGTCGTGCCGTTAGATGTCCGCGATCAATTGATCTATTGGGCTCACACGTCACCCTCCTCTGGTCATCCTGGCTTTGGTCGGACAGTGCACTGTCTTAGTGGGAAGTACTGGTGGCCCACTTTAGCTAAGGACGTGAGGGTTTATGTTTCCTCCTGCTCGGTGTGCGCCCAGTGTAAGGCTCTTAGACATTTGCCCAGAGGGAAATTACAACACCTACCCGTTCCACAACGGCCGTGGTCCCACCTATCGGTGGATTTCGTTACGGACCTTCCCCCGTCACAAGGGAACACCACGATCCTGGTCGTTGTGGATCGGTTTTCTAAGTCCTGCCGTCTCATTCCTCTGCCCGGTCTCCCTACGGCCCTACAGACTGCGGAGGCCCTATTTACTCACGTCTTCCGGCACTACGGGGTACCTGAGGATATAGTGTCTGATCGAGGTTCCCAGTTCACCTCAAGGGTCTGGAGGGCGTTCTTGGAACGTCTGGGGGTCTCGGTCAGCCTGACCTCAGGGTTTCACCCCGAGAGTAATGGGCAGGTGGAAAGAGTAAACCAGGATGTGGGTAGGTTTCTGCGGTCCTATTGCCAGGACCGGCCGGGGGAGTGGTCGGTTTTCATCCCCTGGGCAGAGATGGCCCAAAACTCCCTCCGCCACTCCTCCACTAACCTTTCTCCATTTCAGTGTGTATTAGGTTATCAGCCGGTGCTGGCACCATGGCATCAGAGCCAGATCGAGGCGCCTGCGGTGGAGGAGACCTGGAACGCTGCCCATGCACGCCTGCAATGAGCGAGCGCCGACCGCCACCGCAGTGAGGCCCCAGTGTATACACCAGGGGACCGGGTCTGGCTCTCGACCCGAAACCTGCCCCTTTGCCTGCCCTGCAGGAAGCTGGGTCGGCGGTTTGTGGGGCCATTTAAAGTCCTGAGGAGATTGAAGGAGGTTTGTTATAGGTTACAGCTTCCTCCTGAGTATCGTATTAACCCCTCGTTCCATGTGTCTCTCCTCAGGCCGTTGGTAGCTGGTCCACTCCAGGAGTCTGAGGAATGGGAGGTTCCTCGAGGGGGCACCGGCATACTCGGTCCGTTCCATTCTGGATTAGAGGCGTCGGGTAGGGGGCCTGCAGTATCTCGTGGAGTGGGAGGGGTACGGTCCGGAGGAACGGTGCTGGGTCCCTAGGAGGGACATCCTCGATCCCTCCATGTTGAGGGGGGATTTCCACTGTCATCATCTGACTCGCCCTGCACCGCGTCCTCCTGGCCGTCCCCGAGGTCAAGGTGGGGGGGGGGTAATGTCACGGATTCAGCCGAGGCTGCTCCTCCTCCTTGCTCGGGCAGGCTTCGGCTTTCGTCGTCACCGGAGTACTAGCTGCTACCGATATATGTTTCTGTGTTCTACTTGTTTTGTCTTCATTGTACACACCTGGTTCCCATTATGTCTATGATTTGTTCCCTATTTAACCCTCTGGCTCCCACTGTGTTGTGTGCGTGTTTGTTCTGTTTGGTGTTATCGACTGGTGAGCGGGATTGTCCTCCCTGCGTGGAGTTTATGTTCATTTGATATTTACGAGTAAAGTACATTGTCTACTAGCTCTGTGTCCTGCGCCTGACTCCGTCCTACCGCTACACACTGACGCCTGACAGCTTGGTCCTGTTCCCGAACAGTATCTCCCCACATGAGGCCACAGCACAGTAGTAAGTCCCAGCATCAGAGAGGCTGAGGTTCCTCTTGGGGAGGTTGTAGACACAGCTCTGTCTAGGAGACCGAGCTTCAGGGCTCTTCTCACACTGATCACTCCTGTCTCCAATGTTGTAAATGATTCCTGGATGGGATTCTCCTGAGCCATGTCTGAACCAGTAGACACTGTTCTCCTGCACAGGTCTCAGTGTGTATTGTACAGTTCAGAGTCACAGAGTCTCCTTGCTGGACTGACTCAGACACAGACTGCTGGAGCACAGACATGCTGTTGGACTCTGAACCTGAAGAGAGAGACGGAGTAAGATCATGGTGTGTAAATTCTATTTTCATGCTATATTCATTTATCGCCAAATTCTTACGTTTATTTTGAATTTTATGGTACGAAATGAAAATCCAAAATGAGGGAAGGAAGTTAAGTTACCTTTGACAATTAAAACAGTTCCTTCTCCAAATTTGACTTCGCCCACTTCCATAGCACCACAGTAGTGTGTAGCTGAGTCCCATGGCTCTGTCTTGGAGATGGTCAGGTTACAAGTGTCTCTTCACACTCAGATGTTTAGTCTCAGTGAAATCCTTGGTAAAGTGGTTGAAAATGAACTCTTGAGCACAGTGAAATTATGATGCCATGAGAAGAGGCTTCTGTCCAACAGTCTGCTTGAAGCCAGCAACATAGGTCATCAAACTAGATGGACAAAAGCAAGTGAGAGTCACATTACCTCCCAGATGAGTTACTATCACCAGGTCTGGTTGGACTATGTCCATAGTAAATGCACAAACTATAAAATAAAATAAAGACAATGTATCAAAAAACCATTTATACCCATCACAAGCAGTTGAAGTTGACACAATGCAAAGTTACTGTGCCTCCAACATTGGCTGACACTATAGACAAAGGGCTGGCTGGGACTGTCACAGATAGAAACATGATCTACACAGCAACATAAGTAGATAGACAAAAGCAAGTGAGAGACACACTACCTCGCATCCCAGTAACCATCAAAGGGTCTGGTTGAAGAATGTCCTTCATAAATGCAAAAACTGTAAAAGAACAAATATTTTCTACTCATTATTATTATGCTTTTCATATTCATACTAAATGTAATTTAAGTGGATTTAAAAGACAAAACGGGTCCACATTTAAATGTCGTACTTACCAAAGTTGGCGTAAAACAAAAACATTGTCCAATGTCTGATCATCATTGTAATGTCAATCCTTTCTGCACTGTATAGTGTGAGGGTCTGACAACAGGCACCTCTTTCATGATGACACTTTACATGTAGCCATCATACAGGAGGAGGGAACACTGAACTGAGAGACTATTGGCTGACTGAACAGGAATAAAAGCTACAGTCTAGCAAGTGTGTTTACCATAGTTTGAGCAGCCCAGACAGACTTTTAAAGAAGACAATCAAGTCAGAGTTATTAGATCAAGCCGATCAAATTGTGCCTTGATACACTGCTTATTTATTTGGGAAATGAAACTTATTAAGACCAGTTCTCTTTTGATGTTTGGACAAACAGTAAAGGATCATATTCCACTCTCTAGTGCCTCTGATATTGAGCCCATCCCAATCCAGCCTAAATTTCTCCCCCACAGCATACAACCTGCATTTTTGGCACTTGGTTTTCAACATGAAATAGTATTTATCACGTTTCAGGAGAAGACCCAGATGCAGACAGTGTCGAAGTAACAAAAGTATATTACAAAAACAGGGGGCAGGCAAACGACAGATCAAGGGCAGGCAGAGGTCAGTAATCCAGATCAGAGTCCAAAAGGTACAGAACGGCAGGCAGGCTCAGGATCGGGGCAGGCAGAGGTCAATAATCCAGGGTGGTGTGACAAGGTACAGAACGGCAGGCAGGCTCAGGGTCAGGGCAGGCAGAATGGTCAAAACTAGAAAACAGGAACTTGAAAAAGACAGGAGCAAGGGGAAAAATGCTGGTAGCCTTGATGAAACAAAATGAACTGGCAACAGACAAACAGAACACAGGTATAAATACACTGGGGAAGATGGGCGACACCTGGAGGGGGGTGGAGACAATCACAAAGACAGGTGAAACAGATCAAGGTGTGACAGTTGACCAGGGTTCCGGCTTTGAAACTCAGCGAGATGAGGCCTGGGTCCAGGATGTCCCTAGCGGGGACCCAGCACTTCTCCTCCAGGCCATAACCCTCCCAGTCAACCAGGTACTGGAATCGCCTGACCCGAGGTTGAACCTTCAGGAGACCCCTCACCATGTAACCCTGTTGGCCGTCGATGAGGCGGGGGAGAGGGGTGGGCCTGGAAACAGGAGACAAAGGGCTGTGAGACATGGGTTTGATCCTAGACACATGAAAAGTGGGATGTATACGGAGGGTACGGGGCAACAGAAGACGAACAGCAGAGGGGCTAATGATCTTGGAGATGGGGAACGGACCGATAAACCGGGGGGAAAGTTTGTGGGACTCCACCCGGAGGGCAGATCTCGGGTGAACAACCATACCTGTGCCCGAGACGATACCGGGGAGCCGGGGTCCGGTGGTGGTCCGTTTGTCATCGATACCTGGATGTGGTCTTGAGAAGAGCCGACCGGGCTCTCCTCCAGGTACAAAGACAGCAGCAGACAAACATCTGGGCTGAGGGAATGCCGACCTCTTCCTCTTGCTCTGGGAAGAGCGGAGGCTGATAACCCAGGGAACACTCAAAGGACAAAAGACCCGTGGCAGAGCAAGGAAGGGTGTTGCGGGCGTATTCGACCCACACTAGTTGCTGGCTCCAGGTGGTGGTGTTGGCGGAGACCAGGCAGCGCTGTGTCGTCTACAGGTATTGGTTGGCTCGATCCGACTGGCCGTTGCATTGAGGGTGGAAACCAGAGGACAGGCTGGCCGACGACCCAATGAGTGTGCAGAACGCCTTCCAGAACCGGGACGAGAACTGAGTACCCCGGTCGGAGACCACGTCCACTGGGAGTCCATGGATCCGGAAGACGTGCTGCACCATGAGCTGGGCCGTCTCTTTGGCGGAGGATTGCTTAGGGAGAGGAATGAAGTGGGCGGCTTTGGAAAACCAGTCCACAACTGTCAGGATGACGGTGTTGCCATCAGACGGGGGAAGACCCGTGACAAAGTCCAGGGATATGTGAGACCAAGAACTTGAAAAGGACAGGAGCAAAGGGGAAAATGCTGGTAGGCTTGACGAAACAAAACAAACTGGCAACAGACAAACAGAAAACACAGGTATAAATACACTGGGGATAATGGGGAAGATGGGCGACACCTGGAGGGGGGTGGAGACAATCACAAAGACAGGTGAAACAGATCAGGGTGTTACAGTATTATTAGTTGTGGCAATAGAATGGCCTATTAATTTGTTGGTTACTAATGCCCTTTTAAATATAGCACGGCTATAATTTTGCCCTTTTTTTTATGTCAGCCCATATCCTCTAATTAACCTCAGTAGTGCCACTGCACTATGCATGTCCCTTATAAGTGTATTATGTCTCTGTAATACCTTGTCTTTGTAATACATCTCTTCTTTGATAGAAGTTTACCTTAAGTATTTGAAAGAAATCAAATATTATTTTGTCCAGCTGGTCATTCAACAGTTACAATACTCCAGATGACCCATAGGAGGTCTGTTGTGTCTAGAACATGTCTTGTCATATACAGTATAAGGGTGAAGGGGGGTGGAGCAGAGTGCATATGGGAAAACCCCAACAGAATGAAACAAGTCTATTGTATGGCATTCTCATTACCTGTATATCATTCACAGAAACATGCATTGACTGATGTGTAACACCCGAGAGTGCATGTCTGATTGGACACCAGTCAACCAGCCAACCAGCTAACCAATATGACACACTTTATCTAGTCTGTTTCACTCTCTGGTTAGTGTGGTTCTTATAGGAAGCAAACTATCAGAAGGAGGATCATCCTCTATTGGTCTCCTTCTGATAGAGGAACCTGCAGTAGTGTTTGTGCTTCACAAGACATGTATGATTGAGAATGTACTGAAAGTTCTCCCATGACGTCATCATAAACTGGCCCCTCCCCCTGAGCCCATAGATCTAGGATAGATGGTGCTGTATCACACATGACACAGTTAACTCAGAGAGTTCAAATAGGGTTCATCAGCAGTTCTATGTGGTTTACAACTGATTTGAGATAACTAAATATATATTAGAGTCAGTTTTATAAATAACTGTTTTGCTGTGGCTGTAATCTGTCAGGGCAACATGAACAACAAGTAAAGATAGTGAGAACAACAGTGACACCACATAGACATCCTTCTGAAAACCACATAGAGACACAGAGACACAGAGAGCAGGTAGGAGGGTCCTGTGTGCACAAAGCCAGCAGGCCACCTGACCAAAGCGTAGATACAGCCTTGTCTTGGGCTTACAGAAGATTGCAGAGTACCTGTGAACTTGTTGTGTGGGGGTTGGTGTGAGTGACATTATATCAACACAACTAAAAGAGGACAACACATTACAGAGGAGAGATGACTTGAATAAATAAGTTGTCTCCCATACTTATTCAACTACTCCCTGGAACTCAATACAAAACTACACACAAACACGAGTCATTGTCTTCGTCATATGTGACTCGTTTCAGGAAATAGGGTTATGTCGCTGGTCATTACTTCACAGGAGAGCCATTTGAACGTAAACTTTTTGTTTTTATCAAAATGCATGTTTTGGCAGAAATGCCTTCTGGAACATGTGAACTTTCATGTGCCTTAATAACAAACTTGTATGCCATCTATAAATGCAAATAGAATTGTTAAATTACGAGCCTAGTTGGTTAAGCCACAGAAAAAGACAGCAACCATCCCACTAGCCATGATTGGCAGAGATAATGAGTGGGCTGGACATGCCGAGAGAGGAGTTTGGATTGGTCTGCCATATAGAAGGATTCTGTCTATTTGGGCTGGTCAGCACGTGTAGGTAATCCTGTCTAACACGGCTTTTTAATTTTTTTATTGTGTAGTGGCGCTGCATAAGTGTTGCTCTCCACTTTCTGGAGGATCGTGTTTTGAAATCAGTGGAATTAGAGTATGATAGCTAAATAGATGGAGAAAACACCTGTCTCCGGATTACATCTTCAAACTAAGGGCAACCATGCATGGCATCTGTGACAGGGAGATATTACATGTTTCATATTTTGACAGAAAGTGGTTTCATATCAAGTTAAAGTCTACTGTTAGCTAGCTAGCTAACGTTAGCTGGCTTGCTCGCTAGCTAACGTTACGTTGTATTGAAACACACTTACAATAAAAACGTTTCAAATTATATATAAAGCCTGAAACACAGAGAAAGCAATGTATGTCTATACGGAGGAAAAGTCTATGTTTCAGTCCATGTTTTGGCACCTCATCCAAGAGTACACAGTGTCTTTCTCGATGGCGCTCCTCTGTCTCTGAGTTTTCGGCTTCTTATGGATGACATTCAGAGCAGCGTAATGGACCGACGTGAGTGTGGAATAGCAAAACAAATTCCAACGACATCAGGAAATGACCTGATATTTTGATATTTGTTTACAGTTCATCAAAATCATACTCAGAATAGTTAACTTTATGGTCTGCATACCTGGTTATGAGAACTGGGGACTCCCGGACCACTTGGCTGAGGGTGCGTTCCTTTTAGACAAAAACATGAAGGAATCATCATCATCATTATCATTCAGTGAATTAGCCCAGTTTCATGACAAAAACATGTAATGTACATTGCACCAACAGTTTAAGCATATACTGTATTGTGCGCAATGATAACGCTTACCTTTGAAGAACCGTTATGACCAAAAACAAGCCATGTGCAGTACACCAACAATTAAAGCATATATTATGCACAATGATAACGCTTACCTTGGCACAGCAGAAAGGTTTCCTTGGTCATCTTATACAAAACAGAACCAAGGACAATGATGAGGATGACACAAAGAGCCAACGCTACACCCAGACAGTACACCAAGAGAACATGGTCCTCCTTACAACCATCTGTAGAAATACAGACAGTGATAGAGGAAATTCAGGACATTTTGTTCAACCAGGCATAGAATGTTGAAATATCACTTACGGTCAATGTAAAGCTTGGTCCCGTGGAAGATCAAACAGGGATAGACACACAGACTATTATGGATAAATATATGACAATGAATAAGCCACCAGTAAGACACAGCATTATCTGAGAGTCATACTTTCGACTGTTTTCGAAAAACAAAGGTATCTGAATGATATAGAAAACAAAAGGAAGGGAAAGGGGAAACCTAGTCAGTTATACAACTGAATGCATTCAACTGAAATGTGTCTTCCGCATTTAACCCAACCCCTCTGAATCAGAGAGGTGCGGAGGGCTGCAGGTATCTGAATGATATAGCTAAACAAAGATATCTGAACGATGTCGAAAAACAGCGGTATCTGAACGATATCGAAAACAACGGTATCTGAACGAAATATAAAAACAAAGGTATGTGAACGAGATAGAAAAACAAAGGTATGTGAACGAGATAGAAAAACAATGGTATCTGAACGATATCGGAAAAACAACGGTATCTGAAGAATATAGGAAAACAAAGATATCTGTACGATATCAAAATATATTTGGTATCTGAAAAATATCGGAAAACAAAGTTATCTGAACGATATAGAGAAACAAAGGTATCTGAACGATATCCACAGGAGGCACAACTTTTAGGTTGGCTCCATTGGTTATTTGAAGAGGAAGTGAGGTTGAGAAAATGTCTCACCTTACATACAGATGTGTATTCATTGAGGAATCATGCTTATGCTATCAAAAAGGTGTGCTATTAATCTTTAAATGACTTAAAGTCAGTGTTACTGGTTTGTATTTTTTCATCATTTGGGTCGGTGGCTGAGACTAGTGGTACATATGTCCTCTTTGACATACACAGGGGGTTTACATTGTATTTCTCTCTTCATGTCTGTAGAAGCAGTTCAAGCTTTCAGGAGGAAGTGAACTCTGGTGAGGTTGGCACCTTTTTGACAAAATAAGATGTGATCATTTGATACCTTTTCATTGAGTGATTCTATGTTGATATTGGGAGAGTATGCCAATGCAGTGAGTCTTTTCAGCTTGGCCCGACTACTACATTTTACAACAAATGAGGAATGTACAAAATAGCCAAGTCACACGGACACAGTCAAGCTCAAAGTGTAGGTCAATAGGGCTAAACTTAAAATGATGCTGATTGGAGGACTGTCACATCCTGTCTTGATGACTCACACCAGAGTAGATGGTTTCTTCCTTTCTCTGTTCTCTCCTCTGTCTCCTGGGCTTGGTACTCTTCTTGTCAGTGAACTTCAGGGCAGTGTAGTTCAGGCCATCATCGTCACCGTGGAGCTATGAGGATGAAACACAGACTCACTCAATTCAAACTCCGGGTCAAATTTAATGCTGTAATATTTAGCTTTAATACTCTTATCCAGTCTCACTCTTGATACAGCAATTCTGCAAACCAGTTGGTCAGATGTGTTGGCATGAGGCTTCCCATACTGGCTCTGCTGAAAAGGGGTCCCCGCTAAAAGATAAATGACAAAACATTCAAAATACTGGAAACATACTATGTATGTCATATTTTCTGCTTCAAAATGAATTAGGCTTGTGAAATGAAAACAATGTCCAGAGAGGGAAGTGGTAAAAGGAGAGCTAGCCTTCACCCTTCTTTTTGATCTATAACTATTACTACTATTACTATTAGCATGAAGACTTTTACTGTACCTGCACAGTGTTCACATCGTGACCTCTTCATTCTCACACAGAGGATAACGTTGACAACCACACTCAGAATCACAGCAGTTGTCAGGCAAGATAGAATGATGAGGAAAATATGATTTCTCTGATCACCCAACAGGTCTGAAACGTAGAAAAGAAAACGTGATTATTTTCTATTATTCTTTATTCCTCAGTGCTTTTGGCATAAAAGTTAGCTATAAAAGTTATATCATTTGAAATCTACTATGAATTGAAAGCGGTAGATTTACATATTGATATTTCCTACCATTTGATAGAACATTAGTGGTGTATTTTGATTATGCACAGCTTACCTTCGATGTCCAGCTTGGTCCCTTTCCCAAACAGTATCTCCCCACATGAGGCCACAGCACAGTAGTAAGTCCCAGCATCAGAGAGGCTGAGGTTCCTCCTGGGAGGTTGTAGACACAGCTCTGTGTAGGAGACCCAGCCTCAGGGCTCTTCTCACACTGATCACTCCTGTCTCCAAGGGTGTAAATGATTCCTGGATGGGATTCTCCTGAGCCATGTCTGAACCAATAGACTCTGTGTTCTCCTGCACAGGTCTCAGTGTGTATTGTACAGTTCAGAGTCTGAACCTGAAGAGAGAGACGGAGTAAGATCATAGTGTGTAAATTGTATTGGCCTGGTATATTCATTTAGTGCCAAAGTCTAAAGTATATTTCTAATTTGATGGTGCAAAATGAACATCTAAAATTAGGGAAGGAAGTTAAGTTACCTTTGACAATCAAAAAATGTCCTTCTCCAAATTTGACTTTGCCCACTAACATAGCACCACAGTAGTATGTAGCCGAGTCCCATGGCTCTTTGTTAGAGATGGTCAGTTTAAAGCTGTCAACTCCTCTCTTCACAATCAGATGTTTAGTCTCAGTGAAATCCTTGATAAAGTTGTTGAAGTAAAAACTACTTTGGCCACTGTAAAGTGATGATGCCATGAGAAGTGGTTTCTGTCCAAGAGTCTGCTTGTACCAGAACAACATTGGCATTCATGTCAGTTGGCCAAAAGCAAGTGATATTCACACTACCTCCCATCTCATTAACCATAACAGGGTCCGGTTGAAGAACATCCTTGGTAAATGCAAAAACTGTCAAAGCAAACAAACAATATGGATCATCAAGATGAAGATTGAAAAACATCTAAAATACTTGCTACAAAGTAATTCAAACGGTTTCTAAAAGCCAATAATATTTAGATTTTTTAAAAAAGATCTAAATTCAAATTTCTTACCAGTTGGCATAAAACAAATATATTGTCCAATGTCTGATCATCATTGTAACGTCAATCCTTTCTGCACTGTATAGAATGAGGGTCTGACAACGGGGCACCTTTCATATGATAACACTTTACATAGCCTTTGTACAGTGTATATTTTGTTTTAAGATGACTGTGTAAAGAAACTGAGTTATTGGATCAAGGCAATCAAATATTGGCTTGATACTGCTGGTTATACTGTATATAAAAACCTTTACTTCAATCAGTTCTCTTTGGATGTTTGGTCAGGAAACAGTGAAGGATCTCTAGTGCCTCTAATAGTACAGACCCCAACCCAGCCCAGCTCAAGGGTTAAAGTTTTCCGTAATGTAAATATGCCCCCCACTGCATAAAAGCTGCATTTCTGGCTCTTGGTTTTCATAATAGGCCTCCACCATTAAATACTGTTATTAGTTGTCATAGCATTAGCATTGAATAATATTTTTGTTGGCCTAATTTCAAACCTTTGTTTGTTACCAATGTATTTATTTTTTTCTTTACACATGTCAAACCACATCCTCTAACTAACCTCACTAGTGCCACTCTGCATGTCCGCTATACATTTCCTATGAGTGTAATGCAAGGCTTTGAAAACTTAGCAGATGTCGTTTTTGATAATTGCAAGACACCAGACTGGTTTACAGTTCACTTACCAGGTATTGTGTTGGGAGAATACCATTGGACCTCTTACAGTGGAGGTCCTCATCACCTTTCCAACGCCTCACTGCTTATGACCCGGTGGCTGTATTATACACTACCGCCATCTGGAACACCACAACACAGAGTAGATTGACCTTTACAGTGACCTTTTCATCTCCAATGTGTTAGCAAATACATGGTGCCGGTAGGCCCAACTAATTCTCGAACACATTCAGCCCACAGATATAAATAGATGGATGGATGGATGGATGGATGGATGGATGGATGGATGGATGGATGGATGGATGGATGGATGACAAGGTATAGTGGCATAAGGATGTTGCTCACAAACTTCTCTGAATCATGTTATCCAGAAAGTAACTGCTTGTCTATTGGTTGCCTTGGCTTTAATGGTTTATGTGGCTAATCGGACGCAGGCAAACAGCACTCAGAAAAACAGGCCTTGTGTTCTGGAATCTAATCTGATTACGGAGAGCATGTGGTGTGGCCCCTTATGAGAGTAATGTAATTAAATACCATTATTATATAGGCTACATGTACACTATTAACTATTAGTTGTTATGAGTGCAAATCAATGTCACTTTTTTGTAATCATTTAGGGTCTGAAAGGAAGAAAATTGAAATTGTTCAAACCCTACAGAATTTGAACTGTGTGACTGCTGTGGTTCTCGTCTTTGTCCACTAGAGAGCGACATTCTCTCATATTTAATCTATAGACAGATTGTGATTTTCTCACTTTCTATGCCCAGGTCGGTGTATGGTAATGGATAATACGAATTTACTCCTGCAACCTACCCAAAAATACCAATACGATCATCTCCAATGAAAAGGCGGCAAACACATACCATTATGGTATTATAGTATAACCTAAACTTTTCCATCCAAAAAATACAATTCAACTGTGTTATGAATCTATCCTGAATATTAGTACAGGTGATCATGCAATTTGTCGGTTACGATTTCTCACAGTGGTTAGTCAGGTATTTTAGGTTTGTCCCAATGGTGTGTATCTATCCTTCTAACCGAGGAGAGAAGGGAACAGGTGGCGCACGAGATGCTCAAGAGCCTGTTCCGTTCACCAGCCCCGCCTCACTACACCACCGCTGCCTGATCCACCCGCCCCATCGGTCAGGATTTACGTGGTGGTTTTCACGGGAAAGATAGCTATGTCGGAGTTAAGGAAATTTACCAAAAGGTTGAGTAAACCTGGAACGGCGGCGGAACTCAGGCAAAGCGTCTCGGAGGCTGTGAGGACATCGGTGATTGTGGTTAGTATGGTGGATTATTATCTATTCTTTAGCTAGCTGGTAGCTAAGGAACCATAGCGCAAGGGTCCGGTCCGTTTATTCTGTTTCATCCAGAAAAGCCTTTGTATACTTTTAGTTTATAATGTTACTGTCCGAACGACAACATGGTTTCCAGTTTTATCGAAGACGTGTGTCAGCGAGTCTCATCATTTCCCATATCTATGTCACCCACTGAGCAGAGCTTGCCACATTTGATTACTAGTGGCAATTTTAAACTTGCGTATGACGTCGTAATTAGCTGGCAATTAATCAATTTCGTTAGGCAGAAAATAACCATATTTCAACAGGATAATGTCTATATAAAGGAAGTATCGTTTTGCAGTATTTGTGTCCGTTTTCTGTGGCTATGGTGTGTAGAGCACAAGAGAGAACACATGGTATTCCATTCCTCTTGGCATCAGGTCTTGGCTGCAGCGCCTTTTGTGCACTTGCAGAATGAGCAGTGCCAATTCTGAGGTTGAATGGGCAGCTATACTGCATGGTTTCCCTAGATCCCATGCCCTTTTCTTTTCCTGGTCTTGTATCCTACTCCTTTCTATGCTGGGTGGGTGGAATTAATATTTGTAATGCCCCAAGCATGTACAGCATCAGTATTGATCCTGATGGTCTTTGATGATAGACCTACAGTAACAGTTCAGTCTTCGCAGGAGTCTTTTCTCTTTCTTTGTTGAAAGGACAATAGTGCTGTAGGCTATATCATGGATCGTGATTTGAGCACAGGTTGTAGTTTGGTTGGCTGCTTGTAGTATTGGCTTAAAACCCTGTGATGATGCAGGGAATTGGCTTTAGATAAATTGCACATAAAACTGATGAAGCACTTCAGATTTAATCATTCACAGAGGCCTCCTTTGGGTTCTGTGTGTTTCTTCTGATGTCAGTGTTTTGCAAGAGATATTGCTCTCCTCTGACATCAATAGATGCATGACCTTTTGGGGTGGCTCTGACCTCATGACCTCATGATTTGTCATCATGAGATTTCTTCACTATAAAATTGCTCACATTGTCGATGACATCTGATTCACCAGATCTCTCTTTCTCATAAGTGACACAACCAACACACATTTTTTAAATTAACAAACATCTCCAGTCAAGTCTTATGATAATGACGCAGTAAAGTCAACAGGTGTAGTAATCTTGTGATGAGATTTAATGCTGCCTGATGTGTGCTAGGCAACACAGGTTCGGAGTGTGTATTGTATCTGGTTAAGGGGATGATCCTCGGGTAACGGTCGCCGTGGTAACAGAGAACAAGGGCTGTTTTGTGGAGGTCACCTAGCCAGCATAGCCGGTGGTGATTCTCTGGTGGCATGCTCCAACCATGCTTTGTGTGTGTGTTTGTCTGTCTTTATCTGTCATATTTGTCAATGGGGCATCTTGTTTTATTCTTCTTCCAGGCATTCCATGTTTTCTGCTCTTTCCATCCCTTCCACTCTCCTTTTTAAGCTGCCAAGTTGGTGTGTCTAGGAACAACCTTTCCTATGTTCAGTTGGAGGGCTAGGTAGCCGTTTTATTTTATTATGGGGTCCGTTCTCTGTGATCTGAAAAGGAGTGGATTGGCTCGAGTAATAGCTTGACCTAAGGCTAGTAGTAGCATATTACTGAGGCCCACCAGTTTCACTTGCAGTCCTTTCAGATTATAAGACATTGGGACGTTTTGAACGGTAGCTGAAATGAAACTACTATAAGTGACTGAGATCACAAGGAAGCTCTGGAAGAATCTCGATGTGTTGTTTTGATCTAGTCTAGATAAAATATACAGTGCCTTCAGAAAGTATTCACACCCCTTGACTTTTTTCCACATTTTGTTTTGTTACAGCCTGAATTTAAAATTGATTAAATTGAGATTTTTTTTGGCACTGGCACAATACTCTATAATGTCATAGTGGAATTAAGTTCTTCAACATTTTTACAAATTAAAACAAAATAAAAAGCTGAAATGTCTTGAGTCAATAGGTATTCAACCCCTTTGTTAAGGCAAGCCTGAATAGGTTAAAGAGTAAAAAATTGCATAACAACTCACATAATATGTTGCATGGACTCACTCAATTTTAGTGTTTAACATGATTTTTGAATGACTACCTCATCTCTGTACCCCACACATAAAATGATCTGTAAGGTCCCTCAGTCCAGCAGTGAATTTCAAACACATATTTAACCACAAAAACTAGGGAGGTTTTCCAATTCCTCGCCAAGAAGGGCACATATTGGTAGAATACTAAAAAAAGCAGACACTGAATTTCCCTTTGAGCATGAGGAAGTTATGAATTACAATTTGGATGGTGTATCAATACACCAGTCACTACAAAGATACAGGCGTCCTTCCTAACTCAGTTGCCGGAGAGGAAGGAAACCGGTCAAGGATTTCACCATGAGGCCAATGGTGACTTTAAAACAGTTAGAGAGTTTAATGGCTGTGATGGGAGATAACTGAGGATGGATCAACAACATTGTAGTTACTCCACAATACTAATCTAATTGACAGAATGAAAAGAAGGAAGCCTGTACAGAATAAACATATTCCAAAACAATTATCCTGTTTGCAACAAGGCACTAAAGTAAAATTGCAAAAGATATGGCAAAGCAATTTTTTCTCTTGAATACAAAGTGTTATGTTTGGGGCAAATCCAATACAACACATTATTGAGTACCACTCTCCATATTTTCAAGCATAGAGGTAGCTGCATCATGTTATGGCTATGCTTGTAATCGTTAAGGACTGGGGAGTTTTTCAGGATAAAAAATAATGGAATAGATTTAAATG